ACGTGTTTTATTAGTATGAATGGATTTTCAATGTTTAGGCTCTTTTTATTTGGGAATGCGTCTTGTACATGCATGTTTACTTATTTCTCTACTTTTTATATATAAATATGCACAAATCATTCATTTGTATATTTCAACATATACTTGTGTGTAGTCATACGCACAGAAAAATGATGAATTAGTATCGTATAAAACCCCACTCAACAATCCCACGTTCTCTTAGCTTATAGAGCGATGATACTTGTACAAATGGGTGACAAAATGGCCAATGTCACTCTCCTATTGGAGGGGCATTTTTGTCACCCCTTTGTACATGTAGCATATTTCTTCTATATATAAGTAAATCTACCCACGAAGTGCTCGTCACTTTGCATTCAATAAATATACTGCGAAAACCCCTCCACACATTCTCTCTCGAAAAGATTTAAAACTAAAAATGTCTGTACAGGGAAGATGACGCAAGGGGGGTGGTAGATACGGTCGCGACCAACAGCCGACGCCATCATTTGGACGTGGCGGGGGTGTTTCGGAGTTTACAACACTTCGCATCAAGCGATGTACTCCTCCGTCCGTCCAGCACAATCTCGCTCTTTCTGCTTTGGCATTGAGTGATGAGGTCGAGCAGAAACTCAATCCAGATCCGTCTGCTTCGTCCGCTTATTAGTCGGTGTAACCAGCTACAGTGGCTGAAGAGGAACAGACAGAGCAACAGCAGCCACCACCGGTTTCTTCGAAGGGCACGAGGTCTCCGGGAAGACCAGGTTTCGGCACAGTTGGAAGGAAGGTGATCGTGAAAGCGAATCACTTTGTAGTTCAAGTGGCTGACAGAGATCTGTCACATTACGATGCGAGGATATGTTTTTCGCTCTCATTTATTTCCTCTGTGCGGACGTATGATGTCTGATATGCGCGTCAGTGTGCAATGCTATATGCATGTGTCATTTTTACGACTATATATTTTTATGAAAATTCTTTATTTATAATGATGTATGAATACTGTATATGTATTTTTTTTCGATAATAAACCATACGTGTTTTATTAGTATGAATGGAT